ATTTCAAAATAGATTTATTGGTATATTCTATTTTTTAAATTCATATATTTTGTATACCTTATTACAATTTCAGTAATATTAAACCAATTAAATTAATATTTTTAGTTAGCTTAGTTTACAACATATCACAAATACTTGTTTAAATCATCAACCTATAGTTACCCTATTTACCTATGTTACATAACAATTAATTATTGGAATCACTTGTAATGTTTGATTACAATCTCAATATGAACATTAATACTTTTGTCAAGTTAACTAATTATAATTAAAATACTCTGTAATAACTACAAAAACAATGCAATGCAATAATACTTATATTTATTTATTTTTATTTTGTGAACTTTGTTATACATTTCAACTATTAAATATTATAATTAACTATAATTAACTTTTTCCAAGTTTTAAAAAAAAATATTAATTTAATTATATGGGTTAATACAATTGAAAATATTTAAATAAATAACTATTCAAGATTTTGATAAACATAGAATTAACTAAATTATGTATGACCTACGATTTTTTTAAAATATTCTTGATAATAATTTTGTTTATCTGATATTCAGTAGAACCCCTCTCGTACACCCTCGACTAGTCCGCCGCTCCAGTTGATCCGACCATAATATTATTGATATGAATACTATGTATGTCATTTAAAAAGTACAATTTGATTTTCCAATTTATAGTAGATATATAAAAATAATTGCTAGTTTAATATTTCCCTTATTAGTCTTAGCTAAGTCTAGAATATCATTTGCTACACAAAAATCTATAACTGACTTTTTTTCTAAGTATTGTAAAATATTATACATTTCTAATATAATCTTGTATGTAATATGTAAATAGAAATGTTCCGTATATTCTGATAATCCGACCTTTTACGCGTTCTGACCACACCCCCAGTCCCGAAGGTGATGGATTAGAGAGGTTCTACTGTACCTGTATAAGTTACCTGAGCCTATTATATTAGTAATGATTATTTATCTGTTAGTTTTCATATATAAATTAGTTTAAAATTTTTGAAGTACTTGATGGTTCAAATATTGTTCTTTGGTCTTAAATTAATTTTTGAGTATTATTTTCTATTTGCAGATTGTTTATCCTAATCTTGGCTCAAAAAAATCTGATGTACCAAAGGTTAGTTGACTTAATTATATTTACATGGGAAAAAATGTACTCATTTTAATCCATTTTAAGAATTTAATCCTTGGACCGTGGTCAGGAGAAAATGAAATCTATCATGACCCATTATACTTTGGTCAGTATTCTTATATACCAATGACAGAAGCTCAACTACCTCCCATGCCATCTGCTCGAAAACGACCAAGAACTGATGTCACATTTATAAACAGTATGTAATCATTTTCTCTACTTTGTAACTGGAGTTACTGTTGTATTACATTACTATTGCTATTCTGAGTTAATTCACAGTATAACAACTAAAAACCTAATTTGTTATAACCATATACCCTATTCTGTATATCTTGTGCTAAATTTCTATACAATTTTTCTCAACACAAATTACATGATTTTTTATTTTTTTTTTCAGATCGTCTAAGTTTACCTGTGTCATTGTCTTCAAGTTCAAAATCAACATATGGAATACGGGATAATAATGCTGGTGAATGGAGACCTAATGAAAATATTTTTCCACACCTACCTCGGTCAATGTTTGACCGTGCTTCTAGTGCATTGCTTAAAATGCGTAATGATATACGCATTCAGCGATATCGTGGTATTAATAGACCCATGACCATGACTTTAGCGAGTTTGAAACCACCTTTACCAGCTCGACCTGTTCCAGAACCACCCCATGTACCAGACTGGCTTATACATGAAGACTATGCTCTTCTGCAAGTATGTTATTATTTCTGAATATTAGTTATTTGTATTATATCCCTTATATTTGTTGTTTACATAGGCTGTACAAAGAGTACAAGAAATGACATTGAATTTAGTAATACTATGTCCAGCTCATACACCTAATTGGGATCTAGTATCTGAGCTAGTTAATATGATGTCACGAGTCTATAGATCTCCTAAACAATGTAAAAATAGGTAAAGAATTTCTGTATTACTAAAAGAAAAAATTTGTTCGAAAATGATCTCATTTATTTCATTAAAAAYGTGATAAAATAAATTTATATTTATGTTTATCTTTTTATTGATATTTTAATTAGGTACGAGTCAGTAATAGTTGCTAGAGAAGAAGGTCGTATGCTGCAAGAACAACTACTCAAAAAACAGAAAAAAGTAAAATATGATATTATTTGTTATACAATTAAAATATTTATTATTGTGTATTAGTATGCATAYATTGATACATGCCTTTTTTAAAACAAATATACAATTTTTGATTTATTGTTCAAATAGCTGTTCTATAGTAAATGTTTGATTGTTTTAATATTTTAGAAAATTAATCGAGGATTACGCACGTCGCAAATATATTCTACAGATGGAAACCGGACTCATACTCAATTACTTATATCCCGTTTTAATGGTTTATTATCTGTTGCTGCTAAACGACAACCCTTATGTCGAACTAACAGTCAATATGTGCCTAGCCAATCGGCTAACACACCTTTGATTCCAAATGCTAGTCACATTGCAATATTGAAAGAAAATTATGATGTAGACTATAATGTACCTTTGGGTCCAATGCAAGTTATAAGTCGTCGTACCGATCGTATGATAAGAGAAAAACAACAGCAACAGCACACTGAACCTACAACAGTCAGAGTGCAGCCACAACCTCAAACTGTAAAATCTATTCAGTTGCCTAACTCTCTGCCTCCAGCTCAAACTGTTAGTCCGGCACCAGTTAGACCCTCACCCACCACTCAACATCGAATTATTATGAGTTCTCCATCACCTTCCATTAATCAAGTAACCACACTTTTATCTAACAATATTAACATATTGTAGAATTTTACTTCATTCTCTCTATGTTTTATTATCAGGAAGCAAATATACAAAATATACCTCAGACTAGTCCTAAGGTGGTTCCAATACCAATGTCTGTTCATTATTCTGCTGCTGTTCAACGAGCTCTTAATTTCACTCAAGCTTCCATTGTAACTCAAGCATCTTCATCTTCCGGAAAAGGTATAATTAGATTTGTCATTAAATACACTAAAGATAACTTGTATTTTGTTTTCTTAAAATGTTGATGGTTATAATCTTACAAGKAATGAGTAACAGTTTTATTTTCCAAATTCAATWATTACATAATATATACGTTCGTTTATCAATATAATATTATTTTCTGTAGTTACCACAACGAACAAAACTATTACTCAATCTCAGATTCAAATGTATCGCCAACAACAGCAAAATATAGCTAGACAACAAGTTAAGATGGTTAGTGCTCGTCCAACAAAAACGTCTACTGCCAACATCATACCCGTCCAGACATCTCAAACGCCAACTACTCTAAATGTTCGACCCAAAAACACATTAAATACTAGGAATATAACTGACACTGATGTTACAAATTTTATAAAAAGACATCAATTATTACAACAAAAACAAGCACAAACTGTTACTGTTCAATCGCCTATCGCGACTGCAGGACCATCTATAGTTAAAACATCCGTACAAAGTCTAATGCTTTCTGCTGGTGCTAAAAATGCTATAAGCGTTGCAACTGCTACGAAAAACATCAATCCTCAACAACAATTTAGACATCTTACACTTCAGCAACCTATGTTAACTCAGAGAAAAATTCCTACCCAAAAAGTTACTCAATTGAGTCAAGTTGTGGTAAATATTTATTAAATGAATAATTAATAATTGTTGTTTTCKATAAATTTTGTAACAAATAATTTTATATCAATGATTAAGGTGGCTGGAAAGACTGGAGTTCCAACACAATTGATTGTTCAATCCAAGGGTGTACCAAGTACAATGACTATGCAGCAATTGCAGACTATGATGAAACAACAAAATATCCAAAACGTTAGTGTAAGTATCTATAGTTAAAACTTTTATAGTAGACCAAGAAGTCATAGATGTTTAATATTTAAATTACCTATGTACTTAGTATTCAATCGTATACATTGTATTTATTTGTTTTATTCAAAAACTTTTTGAACTATTGAATCTTCATTAAAACTTTAACTTTAAGATAACACTGCATATGCATAGCTACTCTGACTTGGTCACACAAAATTACACTTACCAAATTTTATTTTCACACTCAATAATTTATTTTACTATTATCTTAAAAATGAATTGACCTTCATAATATTGAAAAGTAAAATTTGTATTTAGATATCAATAATTTAATTGGTATTTTAATTAAGAAGCAAGTTAGCAAGTTAGTAAGTAAATTCAAAAATGATTATTACTTGCTCTAAAATTGAAATATTTAAAGCCCTGAAATGTTTTTGACTGAGATCACACTTAATTTTTGCATTTTATTATTGTGCCTATGATGGTATTTGTTTAGTCTATCAAAATAATATTTTTTGACTCTAAGCTTTATTATATTTTTTTTTTTTTGTTTTTGTAAACAACTAAATTAAAAAAAAAAAATAGTGGCTATTATTAACTTAATAATTGTGAACTAATTATACATTAATATTAAAATATGTTTTTTCTATTTATCATCACCTTTAAGGGTAGTAATGGTTTTTTACTAACATTTTTCCTAGCAGAAAAGTGATTTCGAATTAGTATTTTTATTTATGGTGGGCAGAAAAAATCGCATATTTCTTGTAGTTTTCCAGAAGCATTGGATCAAAAAGAATGGAAATACWAATATTATGTTTTTTAACAACATCAATTTTGTTTCAATGATGTAATTCAAAAGTTGTAAACTCTTAATTTAAATTTTCTACAAACTTTTATACTGGCAAATATTCATTCAACARTTACAGTTGTGTGCTGTTAGTTTTGATATTAAAGTGAATTTTGAACTATTATAAAATTTAAAGATAAGATTATTATCTAGGGCTCTATAYAGGCTTAATATACTCTTATAATTATATATAAGTAAATTATGATCATATTTAAATATAGGGGTTCCAAAAGATACAACTTACTTCATAATAATATCAATAAAAGYTTACGTAGGCCCTAGATAATTATCCGACCATTAAATTTTATAATAGTACAATTATCTCTATTACAAATTAACTGCACCCTATTGAAATTGCTGAACAAAAATTTAGTATGTCATATGTGTTGTAAGATGGAGACATAATATATTTTGTGATTAAGAGCTGTTAAATCTTCTTCACTAAGGATCATTTTAATTTTGAGTCTTTCAAATTTAACTCACTTAACAGAGGCTTTTCATGACACCTTTTAACTACAACTGTACAAAAGAGTAGCAATTACTATAAAAAAAATTTATTTAAGGTTATTTGTCTAACATAATCATTATTCATTACTATTTAGTTAAATTATAATATTTCATTCAATGTGTTAGTAGTATTCAATTTTTCATATAAATTTATGATATTAATAATGATTATTGCATGGTGTATATATTATGTTTAGGTGTCTGGCGCTAATATAACTGCGATGCAATCAAATTCAAATGCCGGTCAAGTTATATCCCATGTCATTGCAAAAAGTCATGGACAGTCTTCGAGTATTGGATTAACAAGAGTACTACCAGTTGTTACAACCCAAACTTCATTAAAACAAGCAATTCAGGTATTATTATTATTATAGATTAAAATTATATATTACCATATTAACACAATAATGATAAATGTTAACTACMTGGATGTTGTMTAATATGTTATTTATTTTTGCTATCTTCCATTCATAAACTGTTTTTACCCATAGATTGTGTCTATTTTTTTAGCTATTGTATTATATAATTACAATTTAATCCATGTTC